GCATTTTTTGCATGAGAAATTGCTCTGTGAAATTTGTCTGGGGGAACATACGGAAATTCCGCAAGGTAATCTTATTTAAATGGAAAAATTGAACAGCTGAAACTTCATTGGTTATATTAGTTGTAAATTTAAATCACAATGTTTTTTTTTTGCAAGATCTACATGTAAATGCTAAAGATTACGTTACGTTGTATGAGATGTCAGGTTAAAAGCTTGTCAGACTTTTGTTATAGTGGATGAAGTAGTTTTAATGGCTGCAATACACAATATACTTTTATAAGCTCGTATTGGTTTGCATATTGAACACATTTGTACATATACCCTTAGTTGTGCACATTAGTCCTTGCTACGTCGCACTAGCCCTTGGCAAGTGTTTAAGAGCTGCCCTTGGTGTTGGCTCCTACAAGGCTTCGTCTTTTAGATTTCGTGCTTGATTTCTACAAGGAAAAAAATGATTTTGATCGCATATAGTAGTTGGCATTTTCTTTTAAAATTTTGGGGTTAATATCAAGATTTTTGTTTGGTCTTATGTCTGTTAGAAGTTTACTTGTTCGTGCTGATGTTTTATATTGTGTAAATAATACGTTGCGATGCTCGAACGTTCTCAAGATGACTAGAAATGCTCTGAAGATTTTTCTTTTATGAGTTTGCAAGTTCAATGCTTAATTTCTCAAAATTGTTGAAGGTGCAATAGGAAGTAGGATCATCAATAGGAATAAATACAGGAACAATGTGTGCTTTCCAATGTCATTCTTTCTTGTTTGTATTTATTTTCTGGTTTTTAAGTATGAAAGTTTATCGTACGTTGTTCTAAGTTGTTCTCACTGTAAACTTTATGGAATTATTCGCCAGAAAGAGCGCCGTTATCTTAATAAGGGGAGATAATGGATTCTCTTCAAGCTGCTAGTCTAGATTTCTAAAACTTTTTCAAGTCACTGCTACGGATTCTGTAATTTACAAATAACTTCATTTTCTCGACCATGATCACAATCCTCATATATGAGGATTAGTTTGTTATTGTTGTTAACTTGCAACGTTAGTTTAGAGATGTCGAGCCTAGTGTACCGCAGTCGTGTTCTCATAGCCTATTTATTTCGATAGCATCTTTCATTTGGGAAGCATCTTGAACCTGTTTGTTGAACTAAAACCTGCTCCATGTTCAACGCAAGAATTTAGCTTCAACACTGAGTAATTGTCTTGTTTTAGTCGCCGCACTGATAGTTCACTCAATATAATCTCATTTTCAGTGACAAAATCTACCATCAATTCGAAGTACTGAATTAAGCTTCAAAGAGAACCCTTATGCTACCACTGGGTCCATGCCGTATGCTTTTTGTGCATGTTTATTTTCAGCATTTTTTGCAACATGAGATACCGAGCTTGAAGGGTTCATCTTAGTTTAATTATATTATGGAAGATGATGAATAAAACAGTTACGCTGTATGATGATGCATCATACAGTTACGCTGTATGATTATTAATCATACAGTTACGCTGTATGATGATGCATCATACAGCTACGCTGTATGATTATTAATCATACAGTTACGCTGTATGATGATGCGTCATACAGTTACGCTGAATGATTATGCATCATACAGTTACGCTGTATTATGATGCGTCATACAGCACGCTGTATGTTGTATCATACAGCACTCTGTATTATGATGCGTCATACAGCACGCTGTATAATGATGCATCATGCAGCACGCTGTATGTTGCATCATACAGCACGCTGTATGTTGCATCATACAGCACGCTGTATGTTGCATCATACAGCACGCTATATGATGATGCGTCATAAAGCACGCTGTATTACGATACAGTTACGCTTTATGTTTATAAATAATACAGGTACGCTGTATTACAATGCATCATACAGCGCGCTGTATTACGAAGCATACAGCGCACGCTGCGTGTGACCCTCTAAGACATAACTAACCCGTAACTTTCAATGTACAAACTGTGCGTGTACCCTTGAACTACACTCCGTTGTCTTGGCGTGTAGTTTTTTCCTTGAAGTCTTAAGAGATGTTCTTATATATATCAATTGGCCGCCGTTTACATTTATCTACATAGCGAGAATAATTCATACTAGCTCGCTCTTTGTGTAGCTTCAAAATTACTCTTATAGTACAGGGAACTAACCTTGATTATGAATGTAAAATATGATTATAAATACAAAAGAATATTACGATTTATAATGTTTTATTGTCATCCTTTATCCTGCGTACGGTCTGGGGGTGCTGGAGTCACCTAAACTCCCATTCTTCCAGACGAAATGGCTGGGATTATATGTGCCGTTAGTCATTTAAATGAAAATTGTCAAATTCATTTTAAATTCGTTGGTCATTTAAATGACTAACACTCAATACGTACGTACGGTAGTCATTTAAATTACTAACTTTAGTCATCGTTAGTCATTGAATTAATTAATCGACGCTACTTGAGCTTTAGAGAAACTTTAGATGATTATAAAACATATGAAGATGAAAAAAACGTGTCTACTTTGGTCTCGATTAACAGTGGACAAAAACAGAAAATTTTCACTATGATATTTTTCACAAAACGTTCACTATGCTAACTGTATGAAGACGTTATTAATTTATTGAGCTGGTTTAGTGTTGGAAATTTTGTAGCCTGAATTGTTACAAAAGCGATCTGAATCACTGAATAAGCACTGATATATGACTAACCTGTAGCCGATATTCAATAGTTTTCGAATCTTTCAAAATGCGAAAATGTGAAGAATGTTTCATCGTTTTGTGAGTGAAGAGCCCCTGAAGTTTTCTCGATCCGCTTCCGTGATGGCGATATGAACTCGCATGCGAGATTATTTCCAACTAAATATGAAGATTTTTCGAAGGTAATTTAATATACCGCGTACTACTCGATTAATTCCTAGATCCTCTGAATTCTAAAAATTGACAAAACAGCGCAAGGGAATTAAGGTGAAAACATTCCTTAATGTTCCAAGAGCATGGGAAACAAGAACCAACACCAGGGGCCACGGCTATAAGCTAAAAAATTACGCTGCAACTTCTCCATGCATGCGACAACATTTTTTCTCGCTTCGAATCACCGACATGTGGAACAGCCTCCCCGATGACATCGTTGGCGCTCCAAGTATGAACGCGTTCAAGAACCGACTAGATAAAGCAAAATGGAAAAGAATCGGCGACAGGCCACATCAGGCCTACACTTCAGAGCCGACATCACTATGTTATGTTATGTTATGGGACTAGGTTATTGCTGAGTTGTTAGGTTAATGAATTTGAATTTCTAGAATTTGAAACAAGAACCAACACCAGGGGCCACAGCTATATAAACTAAAAAAACAGCGTTGGAACACATCCATGCGAAACATTTCTTCTCGCTTCGAGTCACCGACATGTGGAACAACCTCCCTGATAGCATCGTTGACGCTCCGAGTATGAACATCTTCAAAAACAGACTAGACGAAGCTATGCAGGAGCATATGTTCAGTCTTAAAATGCCTAGCAAATTACGGACCAGGCAATAAGTCCAGCAGCTATCTCAATCAATCGTCAGTTATGGAAAGATCGGGTTCCAAAGGCCGGATCCCTTGCGGATCAAGTCACGAAAAATTCACGAATCGGCAACAGGCCATGGGCCTATTTCTTCAACGCCGACACTTCTATTCTATTATATTCTAATGGCGGGTTGTTAGGATTAAGGTGATTTGTAAGCTATAAAAGGATATTTACTTAATGACCACATTACTTTATTTAATGTATAATATCTACCTATTTTCTGTGTGGTTCGAGTTGCTTTGGTTAACGCCGTCAGATTTTTAATTTTATGGTTAGTAGTATTTTATGAACAAAATTCATATTCATGATCTTTTTCACCAGCAATTACGATTAATTATTTATCATCAATCCGAGGGATGCATGTTTCAACAAATGTCGATCAATTAACTCTAATTTCTCCATGTTTAAAAGTTCAGCGAAAAAATACCGAGTTCAAATATTACAAGGAATAGTTTTATAAAAAACATTAATTTAATATGTTGACAAATCGTCGCTATGAACTTGAGTCAAACGTTATTAGCTTGTTTTACGCGGAACATAAAATTTAAAGGCAATATCACGAAACCGTCAATGGCAGCAATATAAAAAAATATATATATATTTTTTGCTTTCGTTAAATTTTTTTAGGTTATTTTCCAGGTTTTTTGCTCAGTCTGAATCACGGTGAGTAAACACTTGAAAAATGTCGTGCCGAAGCCACAAGCAGATTGTCTCGTGAAAACTACTAGAAATCTGCTGCGTAAGCAAGGCATTTTCCTACAAAATTAGAGGAATAATTCATAGGCATACTATGAATTATTCCCCTGATGGGGGAATAATTTTAGGAGAATAGGAAAAGGAATTAAATTTTGAACTTGTTTACATAAACCGTAAAATTTTGATGACAAGGATACAAGCTTGCTCCTCTGATGAACATGATACTTGCTCCTCTGATGAACATGATACTTGCTGCTCTGATGAACATGATACTTGCTGCTCTGATGAACATGATACTTGCTTCTCTGATGAACATGATACTTGCTCCCCTGATGAACATGATGCTTGCTCCCCTGATGAACATGGTACTTGCTCCCCTGATGAACATGATGCTTGCTCCAGTTCATTGCTGCTTTTGACTATCAACAATGTAATTCATTTTTGCTAGTGAAGCTTCTAATAAAAGTGGTTAATGAATATAGTGTAAATAAATGACGTTTTACATTATTTGAAGCGTCACTCCTCAGCCTGTGCATTTAAAGAACCATGTACTAATTATAAATCTTTTCTCTGCATCAGGTTCTATTACCCGGTTCGTTTTTAGAAGAACGGCACCATAGATCGGTCATAAGTTATAAAAAATACATGATATACATAGAGATGTTTCTGTTAAGTTCTTAAATTTGGTCATAAAATTTGCCAAAGTTATATGCAATCTCTTCTGTATTAAGGTTAGCTTAAACTCAAGTCCACATTCCATAAATATATTGAAGTCTTGGACACGCCACAGGTCATCTCACTGATGCTTGTTGCATCAGAAACTTAGAAATATTTAGACAGAAAAGAAACTGTTATGACTGCATACGACTCATCGTTGTACATGTTGGGTCGCTTTCCTGTCCAATTTCGGTCCAAACTAACCTTCATTTTAACAAACAATTTTCTAGTTGACAGTTTTGGTTCAAATATCAAACGGAAATTTTCTTGACTAACCTTCATTTTAACAAACAATTTTCTAGTTGACTGTTTTGGTTCAAATATCAAACAGAAATTTTATTGATTTAGCAAGCTTGCATTCTGTAGTTAAGAGAAAACCCGGCGTTGGGGCCATCGTTGAGCGCGGCGTCCGCGGGGTAAGTTTCTTGCTCGTCGTGGACGACGGTGAGCGCGAACGGTTGCACCGAAGCTGTCGTGGGGAACAAAGTGAAAAGAGTGTACAAGTTAGAAATACAGTGGGGAAAATAAGAATTTAGTCAGTCACCAATTGTGCAAGTTCTCCCACTTGAAATGATGAGAGAGGCCTGCAATTGACATCATAGGTAGACCTCAACTATGAGAGACAAAATGTGAAAAAATGAGAAATTAATTTTGTCGGACTTTCAAAGATGTTATTTGCAAATGATGGTGGAAAATAAGTATTTAGTCAACAAAGATGAACAAAAGTTCTTCAAGTTAAAAAAAATCATCAAGTTCAAAATTTTGAGATGAACAAAAGTTCATCTCAAAACTTTATCGCATATCCTTTGTTGGCAATGACAGAGGTCAATCGTTATCTGTAAGTCTTTGCAAGGTTGGTACACACTGTTGCTGGCCTGTTGGCTATTCCTCCATGCAGATCTCTAGAGCAGTGATGTTTTGGGGCTGTCGGCGACTTTCAATTCCTTCCAAAGGTTTTCAATGGGGTTGAGATCGGGAGACTAGCTAGGTCACTCCAGGATTTAAAAATATTTCTTACGAAGCCATTCCTTTGTTGCCCTGGCAGTGTGCTGGGATCATTGTTATGCTGAAAGACCTAGCCACGTTTTTTGCCCTTGCTGATGGAAGGAGGTTTGCACCCAAAATCTCACGATACATGGCCCCATTTATTCTTTCATGTATACGGACCAGCCGTCCTGGTCCCTTAATTTGCAGAAAAACAGCCCAAAAGCATGATGTTTCCACCCACATGCTTCATAGTTGGTATGATGTTCTTTTGCTGAAACTCCGCACTCACTTCCCTCCTAACACGACGAGTTGTGTTTTTACCAAATCATCCTACTTTGGTTCCATCTGCCCATATGACATTCTCCCAATACTCTTCTGGAGTATCCAACTGCTCTCTAGCAAACTTCGAACGTGCCTGAATATAGACTAGCTCAAGTTGGGGGACACGTCAGTCACTGCAAGATCTTCGTCCCTGGCGTCGTAGTGTGTTGCTGATGGTAGCCTTTGTAACGTTGGTCCCAGCTTTCTGCATGTCATTCACTAGATCCTCCTTGTGTTTCTGGGATTTTTCCTCACCGTTCTTGTAATCGTTTGACCCCACGGACTGCGATTTTGCGTGGAGCCCCAGATCGAGGGAGATTAGTAGTGGTCTTGTGGGTCTTCCATTTTATGATTCTGGCTCCCACAGTAGATTTATTTACACCAAGCTGTTTGCCTCTTGTGATTCAGTCCTTCCAGCCTTGTGCAGGTCTATAATTCGGTTTCTGGTGTCTTTCGACAGCTCTTTCGTCTTCACCATAATGGAGTTCCGGGTGTGACTGTTTGAGGTTGTGGGCAGTTGTCTTTATACAGTTAACGACTTCAAACAGGTTCCATTAATACAGGTAATGAATGGGGGAAAGTGAAGTCTCTTAATGAAAGAAGTTACAGGTCTGTGACAACCAGAAATCTTGATTGTTTGTAGGTGACCAAATACTTATTTTCCACCATCATTTGCAAATAACATCTTTTAGTCCGACAAAATGATTTTCTCAATTTTTTTCACATTTGTCTCTCATAGTTGAGGTCTACCTATGATGTCAGTTGCAGGTCTCTCATCATTTTAAGTGGGAGAACTTGCACAATTGGTGACTGACTAAATACTTATTTTCTCCACTGTAACAAGAGAATTGCTGTCGGTGCGCGACTAGTTTGGTTAATTTGATGTTATGCATGCAAGTTAATATTATTAATGTTGTATAGTGTGTGAAAATAACTTATATCTGATGATGAACATTGCTTGAAAAATATTATAAAAAATATAACTCAGTACTCACTGCAGTGAGTGGCAGAGAGCGCATTTTCTCGTCGACAAAAACATGAAGTCACGGACGGACAGACAGACAGACGGACAGACAGATGGACGGACAGACGGACATGGCGTGCACAATAGTGCCTTTTTTCATAAATGAGAAAATGCGCTAAAAAGTGTACAAGTTAGAATTAACAAGATAATTTTTGTTGGTGCGAGTATATTTTGGTGAATTTGATGTTGTGCATGCAGGATAATATTATTAATGTTGTATATAGTGTGTGTGAAAATAGCATATATCTGGAGATGAACATTGTTTTAAAAAATATTATAAAGAGGAATCTGTAGACCTATCAGGTACAGCTAAATTATTCGTACGAAAACAAATTACAATTTTGGTCACTTGCAAGACAGTTTGGGTTAGTGAATTCAGTCTTCGATGTTCTTATTCTAATTTTGATTTTGTATTATCATGAATGCATTATTATCGATGAGATCTCGAAGGAAAAATTGCCGTTACAGACCGAAACTTTATATGCATGAATAAATCAGAAAATTAGAAGTGCTACCCTGACATGGACCAAAATCTTTATGACCTGCTCCAAAAGTGTTTGATTTATCAGTCCGCGAGAGTCTAGATTTTAGCTAGAATTCGCTACGAACAATATTTTAGAAAAATGAGGGAAGTTGTAAATTTGTATCGACATAAATTTACAACTTCCTTTATGTATCGACATTTATCATTTTTGTCGATGCATAAATGTATCGTCATAAATTTCAAATGGAACCACTTACTTCTGACTGTGCGGGGAAAATTCGTGCCACAGAAGCGATCAGCTGAAGTAATGGTCGGGCTATAAATGGCCGGACTCCAGTCAGTTATGACGCCGCTAGGAATTATCAGATAATCTGTGGTGCAAGACGCGCTACCTGCTAGTCCTGGAGGGAGGGTTCCTGCAGGACAAGCATCCTACGTGTCATTGGCGATGCAAAGTGGAAACGGGGGAGGAAAGTGGAATATAAAAACGGTTCGTTTCATGTCAAGGATAGAATACAACATTTTTAAAATAATTTCCTACCTTGAATATTTGATAGATTTAATAAATTTTAATTCAAGAAAGATAATTATCACTATCAACAGTAATCCTTGAGCCGGATTGCTAAAAATTTCTTCATATAACCTATTTCTCGTTTATTAAACTGTACAAAAATCTGAAAAATTATTCACTGTAGGCAGGGTCTCCCCTGACTCACCTGGAGCTATGGAGGTAGGGTCTCCAGTCATGGAGAAGATGGGGCTTCTGAGTCCACGGACTGACTCACCTGGAGCTATCTAGGCAGGGTCTTCAGTCATGGAGAAGGTGGGGCTTCTGAGTCCACGGACTGACTCACCTGGAGCTATCTAGGCAGGGTCTTCAGTCATGGAGAAGGTGGGGCTTCTGAGACCATGGACTGACTCACCTGGAGCTATGGAGGTTGGGTCTTCTCCAGTCATGGAGAAGGTGGGGCTTCTGAGTCCACGGATTGACTCACCTGGAGCTATGGAGGTCGGGTCTCCAGTCATGGAGAAGGTGTTATCGTTGGCAATCCCAGAGCTCTTTGAGTAAGCTACGCTGCAGTAGCCTGCCTGACTCTTGATGCACGCTTTATAACGCTGGTCTATAAGTTGGGTGGTGGCTGTGGGAGATATTCAGTGGGGATTAAAAGTGGTGTTCAACTATACAATGGCGGCAATGATTAAGTCAATGACGAGAGGCTTGACAGATTTGTGACTTAAAAGTTCATACCTCGGCAACATGATCGACTACAAATTATTGGTTTGTTTCAGTCTTAACAATTTAAAAATACCGCACTCTGGAGTTCAAATGTATTAATAAGTAAATTCATAAAAAAAATTAGCAATGACGTAAATGGAAGTGAAAAGTTCTATGCATTGTCTGATCGTTTAAAATTACAATTATCATGTGTGTTAACTTTATTTGCGTCTTATAATCTGTAGTCTTTACTCAATTCAGTATGTAAATATATTAGAAATACAATTTTTTAGTAATCATGATACACTGCAATGTATCATTTGCTTAACATTGAGATGAAATTGTATTAAAATCTACAGAAATATCGAAGTAAATCTAAATTTTTAGCAAGTAAAATGAAACTTACAAAAGATTTAGAAAGAATTCAATACAGAGCAAAGAAGTGTCGAGAGATAGAATTAGGGCGAAGGAGAGGTCTCCAATAATTAGGGAGAAGGTTCTTTAGGATAATTAGGGAGAGGGAAAGGGTTATTTAAAATAATTAGGGAGAAGGTTCTTTAGGATTATTAGGGAGAGGGAAAGGGTTATTTCAAATAATTAGGGAGAGGGTTCTTTAGGATAATTAGGGAGAGGGAAAGGGTTATTTCAAATAATTAGGGAGAAGGTTCTTTAGGATTATTAGGGAGAGGGAAAGGGTTATTTCAAATAATTAGGGAGAAGGTTCTTTACGATAATTAGAGAGAGGAAAGTGTTCTCTAAAATGATTAGGAAGAGAGGTTTTTTTTTGCAATCATTAAGGGAGCGATGGGGCTCTTTAAAATTATTAGGGGAGGGATAGGGCTTTTAAAATACTTACGGAAAGGAGGGGGCTTTTTAAAGTAATAAGGGAAATGGTTCTTTAAAATAATTAGGGGAGGGAGAGGGATTTTTTAAATAATTAGGAAGAGGGCTCTTTAAAATCATTAGGGGAGGGAGAGGGCTTATAAAATAATTAGGAAGAGGGTTCTTTTAAAATAATTTATTTTAAAGGGCTATTTAAAATAATTAGGAAAAGGGTTCTTTAAAATAATTAGGGGAGGGAGAGGGCTTATAAAATAATTAATGAGAGGGTTCTGGCCACGAAATTTCACCTGTAGGGGCGGCTGTGGCGAGGCTGGTGTCATAATTGAAGCTTTTAATTGTTCCAGTCGTGCTGGTGTAATACTGCAGGCAGCCCGTGGGAGCTGCCGAAAGAAATACCAACTATAATCTCAGAAAAATTTGTGAGTCGTGTTGTCCTAATCATGACACTTTTCCTGCAATTTCTTAACTGAAACGCAATTTTGCTGAGCCAACCTGGTCAGGATGACTCTCACAAGAGCAAAAAGTGCATCGTTATTCTGACAAAGTCTCATTCGTATCTCTGAGTGTACGCTTGAATCTTGATACTTTCATTACAGATGGATATTAGTATTTCTAACCATGTTTACGTTATTGAATGTGCGTTACTTGTGTACGTTACAGGTGTGAATGTGCGTTACTTGTGTTTAATGTTACTCGTGAAAACATACGAACAATTTCAATAACACTGTGGGAAACGCCTCCAAAACGAAATGATAAGTGGCCACCAAGCTATCAACCTATCATCCATACAAGCAACAATACAATCTTATTGCTGCGTTGTCAGCTGAATGTACGTCGTACATAACTAAGAACCCGCCTTCTAATTTGGACCGTTAAAATAATGTTAGTGGGTTATTCGACCTCGAACTTAACTTATTTATTCATTATATTTGACTAAAATGTGTTCAAGTTGTCAATGCTTCCATGATAGTCCTACCAAAAGAGGAAAAAACACGTCAAGAACAAACTCTTGAAAATGTTTCCTATGTGTTTGCTGGCATATTTACATGACATCTACGCACCTTTGTTAACAGAGTCGCATTTAATTTGAGTGACAACGATGTTCCATTTCTTGCCCACTGATGTTGTGTCGATCTTTATATTGACGCTTCCAAACGTAGGGGTCACATCCATGTAAACTATCAATGAAATTGTAAAAATCACATTTCACTTAATGGTTAATTCTCGACTCTACATGAATCATAAATATGTGGAAAAATAAATGCGGTATACTATGTTGTCACATTTTAGCAGTACACATGGTCATTCAAGAATCGACTCATTCCATTTCACTTACGATGTTGCCCGGAATTTTGTCCACAAATCACTGGAACAGTGGATGTTCCTCCAGTAACTTTCAGGGAATCCGTTACACATTCTCCTTCCTCGTTGGGCTGAGCCAAATTGAAGTCAGTAAAATCGAGGCGAATCTGACAGATGTTGCTGCTGGCAGGAGTTATTTGGAGTGTGCAGGAGCTGGCGGCGGTGGTGGTCGACGGGAAGTTGGGATTGCGGAACAACGTTCCATCAATCTTTGTTGTGGCACCACAACTCCTAATAACTGTAAATAAATATTAGAAAATTAACAATTTAGGCGGATCTGACAGATGTTGCTGCTGGCAGGAGTTATTTGGAGTGTGCAGGAGCTGGCGACGGTTGTGGTCGACGGGAAGTTAGGATTGCGGAACAACGTTCCATCAATCTTTGTTGTGGCACCACAACTGCGTATAACTGATAATTATAGAAAATTAACAATTTAAGCTCTTGACGGCCAAACTGTGAAATTGTGTCCATTCAAGTGGGAATAACATATTTTATCACATATCTTATTTTTATTAGAAGTAATTATTTTGAAAATTAATTAAATGTTTGAAGTCATCATATGTTGAACGCAATAATGTCCCAACAAATTAGCGTAGAGATTCAACAAATAATTATATTTGAAGTATCCGTTAGTATTGTCCCAGGTATGACGGGTTGAAATATTTACTTATTTAATTATTGTTTAAATCTATTCATCTTTCCTACTGTAATTCTGAGTGTAATCACATCGTTTAAATTTTCATCACATCGACTCCAGTGTTGAAAAATGTCGTTTCACGTATACTCCATCACCGTAATGAATTTCATTAACCGGAGCCAATTTGTAATATATCCTTAATTATGCTAAAGGGTTCTTACCCTACGTTCATTACTTGACAATTTCGTACTAAATACTGAACTATATTAATCCTTAAACCCTTGAATGAATAAATATGATGCCTGACATTATGAAGGCTACAAGTGATGGCAGTACTCACATTAATGTGATGCCTAACATAATGAAGGCTTTAAGTGACGACGGTACTCACATTAATGTGATGCCTAACATTATGGAGGCTTTAAGTGATGGCAGTACTCACATTAATGTGATGCCTAACATTATGANTAAGTGACGACATCACTCACATTAATGAGATGCCTAACATTATGAAGGTTTTAAGTGACGACATCACTCACATTAATGAGATGCCTAACATTATGAAGGTTTTAAGTGACGACATCACTCACATTAATGAGATGCCTAACATTATGAAGGTTTTAAGTGACGACATCACTCACATTAATGTGATGCCTAACATTTTGATGCCTAACATTATTAATGTTTTAAGTGATGACAGTACTCACATTAATGTGATGTCTAACATTAACTCACATGAGCAGCAAACTCCTAAGCCCAGAGCGCAGCTGCCGTCTGCGGTGCCCTGGAGCTTCGTACAGTCGGAGCTCCAGTAGCAGATTCCTTGAGTTTTTGAGTTCGTGGTGCAGGGGTCAGGTGCGATTGTGATGAAAACTGTAATATATAATATAAAATGGCATATAATTATTTACACCACAATGTAACTCGTTTGCACACTTTATTTATATTTTATACTTCTGGTTAATTAATGTATACTTTATCAAGAAAAGGCGAAGCATTATAAACTAGTAGCAGGTACATCAATGGTTAAACAACATAATGCTTAGAATAACAAGAATATTTACGCAATAATATGCTGTATTTCAGTACGGACGATAAGTTGTAGGTATATCAACGGTTAATGATATAATGCTGAGTATAACAAGAATATTGACGCTATAACCTACTGTACTTACAGTAAGTACGCCGATTATTCGAAACGAAATATTCCAGTATACAATTGTGGTTAGTGGTGCTGACATATAATGCTTGACATAGCTGATGTTAAATTGGCTCTGAATCACTTCGAGAAATGTTCTTACTGTTTCTGGTATCATGGCTCCCTTAGCGTGCTTGCCTTACAAATACAAGTGTGCACTGTGTATGTAACAATAATTATGCGTATGCGTGCTTTCCCTACGAATACAAGTGTGCACTGTATATGCAATAATAGTTATTTTTAGATGGCAGAATTTGCTTGTTTATACACGTTTGAATGAAGACCAGAGAATTCGAAGAATTCTCTGGTCTAACAATTCTACAGTGAAGAATTGTTCCACTCTCTGATAATTTAAATCAACGAATTCGCTGATCTTCAATCGACATGTATAAGTAATAATAATTTACACACGTGCGATCGATGACCAGAGAATTCGTTGATTTCTATTATCAGTGAATGGAACTTTTCTTCAGATGGACGGTAGATCAAAAGGCAAGTTTCAGGAAGTAATTCTTATTTATTAACGACGTTTCGAATGCAACAAACATTCATTTTCAAGTTAAAAAGCATTAAACATTGAAATTTTGGTGGAAATAAGTACATAATATAAGTAACTAGGATACAACAGTAAAATTTTGGACCAAAAATTACTCGGAAAATTCTTTCAGAGTTCAGACAGATCCGGTAGTCAGAAAATAGATAGCTGGGATCCAATCTGTAGAGATGAGGAGTTCAGCTATCGCCGGTCGGTTGTTGTCAGGCCACTGCATGATCACGATGCTGGTGAGTACGTTCAGCACAATGCGAGTGACGGTCCGGTTGTAAGCTTGTCTCGCGTGATTCACCTGCCCTCCAGTCTGAAGGTAGCTAACGAGACAGCGGCTCGGTGTCTTGATTGTTTGTCCAATCTGTCCGATGTTGTCTAAAACATGAAGAAGTCTACAACCTTCTTTGAAGCAAAATTTATAGACTACACCGGCCTCTCGGAAAACTCCCGCGTTTTTGCAAGGGTCTTTCATGCGTTTAGTTTGGAATTTGACATTGTTGTCAAGAGTGTCACATAGCCTGTTGAATTCATCGACGATTTTGAGATGAACTTGCTTGCTTTGAGACCTGGTAAGGTAGAGAGCTTGTCTTTGGTGGTAGGAGAAATTTTAATTTCTGCACCCAAGACCCGGCATTTAATATTAATTTCTGCACCCAAGACCCGGCAGCAAGAGATAACATAATAACTGTGAGACGCAGATCTGAACTAATTTCGAGAAACATCAAGAGTGAAGTCATAAATATGAAATCTGGAGACTCCGAAGAGTATCTGAACCGACCTCAAAATATTCCAATCGAGCAGCTTCATCTCAAGAACATCGATGAATTGAACTGGCTCCGTGACACCCATGACCACAACAAATGTTTGTTGCATTCGAAACGTCGTTAATAAATAAGAATTACTTCCTGAAACTTGCCTTTTGATCTACCGTCCATCTGAAGAAAAGTTCCATTCACTGATAATAGAAATCAACGAATTCTCTGGTCATCGATCGCACGTGTGTAAACAAGTAAATCCTGCCATTTAATAGTAATAATAATTATGCATATGCACTCACGTCGGGCAGCAAGTTCAGACAACGCGGACATGTGTGCGGACGCTTGCCGGTCTCGGGAATTGGAAGGCGAAGCGTACACGGCTACGCACATAGACGCGAAGAGCCACACGCTATACATCTTTGTTAAATAATTCATCTGCACAAAGATAGAATAAGGATGATTTATTACGCGTCAAGTCAAAGAAAATTTTCGTTCCCATCGCTGTTTCCCGAAAAGTTAATTAATTAATTTATTATTAGTTTGTTCGCTGGTTGCATTGCGGTGAATGGACCCAAACGAGACATTTTTATTGATATAAAACTGGATATATTATCTGGAAACTGGAAATATTAAGATTATCGTGTAATGAGATCGTTGCAAAGCATATATAATTTGTATCCATATATTGAAATTACAATCTTAATATCATGCAGTCTGTCAATAACCCGTTAGTGTTCAACTGTTCCATATCGTTACCTAAACATATTTAAAAAAAATTTACTTACCAAGACAGGAAAAGTTTAGTTTTACTAATAAAGTAGAGCGTCACTCAACGCAAACTGGAACATATTCTGGGATCCCTCATGCTTTTATGTCAGGCAAGTCAAGGGGAATACGACAGGTGTTCATGAGTGCATTATGGTGAACGAAAGGAGCGATATGATGCAAAATTAAGGCTTTTTGTTCTGTTTTGGCACCTGCGCAATTATTACACATTAATAATCTACGAACATTCATGGACGGTGCGGTTTATTCTTTCCCTTATGACAATGCACATATAGGGACCTTCAATAGGATGCTAATGAACACATGTTAGTTCAGGCGCATTCATCGACTTTGCGTGAAATTTACTGCGCATGCTTTTCGCTGGTCAAAAGCTGGTAGTGCATTATAAAATATATATCGTCCAGTTAACTTTTTGGCTTATGGCACTTTTTAATCGCAAAGCGACATTTTTCTTCTTTTAATTGAGAGCTATTTTCCAACATTTTCATTTCTGTACGTGAATTATTACATAATAATTTGGCTTATTAAACTTTTTCGTTTGTATGACATGTTTAACTTTAAACAAATGTAAGGAAAATGATTGACGTTCAGTGAAATGAATTCAGCCAAATAAATATCTCTGCTAAATGATTAAAACCAAATCATTGGAGCGTGATTGATGAAAAGGCTTGTAATTGTAGGTGATGTAACGAAGCCTGAAAACGGCCTCGTAACAGGTACAAGTAGATTATTATGACAGGTTCTCATTGTGGCGATTCCGTCCTGAAGAAGTACTAACTCGGCACGAAGATTTTAAGAGAACCTATAATAAAAATTGCGCATTGCCTACCCAAAGGATAACGAGTGTGCCTCATAACGATTCTTGGTCGCAGCACATAGTGCATTATGTTTATGTAGATGATTAATTATGGGAATGTTCTCAAATGAAAAAAAATCTTTCGGGTGCGCTTTATCTTTGGCATATAGACAGCAGGTAAACCATACCCCATGATATCGCAGTTTTAACGTGTTCCGGGAATAGTAATTATGCAGTTGGGGTTGCGGAATAGCAATGCAGTTGGGTTGAGGAATAGCAATGCAGTTGGGTTGAGGAATAGCAATGCAGTTGGGTTGAGGAATAGTAATGTAGTCAATGCCATCGGGTGCATTTGAGAGGAATAAACATTTCGTCCAAGGCCTTGGAAAGAGCGTCGGGTCAAGGTCATCAACACGTATAGGAAATTTCCCCATGGTTCTTTCACTTGCCAACTGCGAACCTTAAAGTGCATGGATTGACGATGATCTGACAAGGTGATTCTGAGCATTCCATTCACCGGATTGAAAGCTCTACAAATGAGAAGCTGGCTCTAGAGAAGCTTCAATACCCGTATCACGAATGAATGATTTGCATATACTTGAAAGGGGTTTCACATAACCGCAAAATGTGTCCAGGGCTTTCCCTAAATCTAGTATAAATAATATATATGATCATGATATTAACTGATGATAAAATTTTCGTAAGAAAACAGTCTCTTACTTTAATACAATAGATAACGAGTTGCCGCTATATATGACTGAAATCATGAGCTACCATTCCACCAGCGCGATTGAAGACGCGTTTAAATTTGATTCTTAATTGCTCGATACATTTATTAAAAGTTAATTCATCTCACATCCATGTATTAGGTAAAGGGTATAGTTTAATAAGCTTCATTAAAAAATTCACTGACGAACATGAAAACAGAGTAAGACTTTAAAGAACGTTGAGGGCCCAATGTGTATCGCTACTAACTGAACATTACGCGTTTTGTGATAGCTAGAGTACAAGTTTATGCAAAGTTTGTTTGACAATTTTCATTTCAAACGGAGGAAGCGTATGCCATACAAAGATGCTTGAAGAAGCTCAAGAGGTGGATAATTGTTCATCAATATCACATGGAAACACCATCTAAAAAGGTCTCAGCTTCACTCATTTCAAATAATGATGAATCTTACAATTAAAATAAAATTTTAATGATATCCCGATCCATGAACGCGAACCGGATTTTGAATAGGAAATTTTAGGTACTTTTGAAAAAATGACAAGCTGCGGTCAAACTAAGAATTATGCCATAATAGATAATAAGTTTTTTTGGAAAGTAATTGTTTTTCGTCCTGCAAAGCCCGCATTTCAAAGTTTTTACTATATTGTTTAGAAAATCTATATGGCGTGGAGAAATGCAATTATATATGCGTATATTTGATTTCACTTTCTGCCGAGCATGAATCAAGTGAATGTGAAGGTGGAAATACGCGACACCAAGACTGAATGTTCGAAATTAATTAATCAGTTCCTGGAGATTTCTCGATTACCCATTTTGTCAAAAAAAAAAAAAAAAAAAAAAAAGAAACCAAAACAAAGTAAATTCACCTTGTCTTCATAAAAATGTTTCAGAGACAGGTCAATAATTAGCTGAAACAATTTTAAAGTAAAGAGAGGCAATTAATGGAAAAAGACAGAATTACTGAATAAAAGTGATAATGAACATTTATTGATTAAAAATGTCAAACGTAAAGTAACTGTAAGCGATGTTAATACAAGGTTTCTGTTAAAAATATGCAATGATTCAAGACTACTTAAACCCAAGGAACCAGAGGTGGAGTCGAAATCTGAAAATGCTCATCGCATCTGATATCTTCATTGGACAGCGATTTAGGAAATCAACTCAACTTTAATAACATTCAAACATGTTCGAGTTTAGTTGCAACCCCTCGCTGGTGCCCCATGAAGCGACCATGGTATTCCTCTAAACGATGCCACTTTTGTAAAGACAAAGACAAACGCAGGATCAGTAATCGGTGACTTATTTCAACAATAGAAGCAGCTTAGTAATAAAGAAGCCATCGAACGGATTTGCGTACATTGAGACCATTAAATAAACAGGCTCATCCACATCATGAGTGAAATGGCACGATTTAATTAGTAGCGTTGTCACGTCCTGTACGCGCATGACGTGTAATTTTTTATTCGGACGCTAATAGCGCGGACGTCACAGTATTCAAATGCACGGCCGCCCCGCCCGCACATTGTGTTTATAGCAGCTTCTGCTGGGAGTAGCGCTACAGCTGCGCTACTCCATAGACCGTTTAGTTATAAGTGTTATTCATGTTTTGTCAATTTATTGTGATTTGTGAATCTCAACACGTTCGTTGATCCTGTATCTTAGTGAGTCGTGCTCTGTATGTGTAATTATCACCAGTGTAACGCAAATTTGTTTATCTCTCATGACTAGGGTAAAGCAACCAAATTCCAACTTAAGTTTTCCAATTCAGACTAGGGCTGCATGCATTCACGTAAGTTCAGTAACTTGCAGTCATAAGCTATTCATTGTGATACATCTGGCAACATTATGATTCATATGTCGTTAAACCTGAATCCTTGATTAATTGAAAAACACGTATCTTTTGTATCTTTGACTTTCTATTTATTTGCGGCGCTTTCTGTCCAGCAGTTTGACAAAAAATTGAAATAAAGAAGATTTAAATGACGATTTCGGAAGACTTTATTTCTTATTGTTCCTGCCTGGCTAGTATTGAGTGGCTCTTGGAACTCTAGCCAGAACAAGCGTAGCATTGCAGAGATACTCTGAACAATTTTTTTACCTGGGACAAAGTTAACATAAATGCAAAATAATATAACAGAACGTTCTAGAGAAGGTAAGAATTTTTCTACGATTTGCTAAGACGCAGCTAACAGATGAGCAAATTGGCAAAAAGTTAAATACTAATTGTAGATAATACGGTCAACAAAACGACCACACAGGAGGAAAGCAATGATGTGGAAATAACATGAAACGATCATTAATTAATATAAAAACTGAAATAAGCCAATTCAGGAAGCTATTGGTCTTTCTGTTAATTATGCTTGTACTTTGAGAAGTTTTTAACTGATGATGAAGCAAGTCTTCGAAAAGTTTTAATGAAACTATAATCAATTTTCCTGGACTTGAACCTTGTTTTCAGAATTTTCATAGAAATTCAGCTGAACTGATGCTCGTGAAATTTTGACAGACTTTTTGCCGCTTTGAAGTGAATAAATTTCTAAGTTTGGGAGAAATTTCATGTTCAATTTAAAACGTTGTGAATAATAATTTTATTTTAGAAATGGCTGCACTGATAATCGTGAAATTATAAAAGACTTTTTGCTGCTGTAAATTGAATAAATTTCTATGCTTAGGGAAACTTTCGAGTTGAACTTATAAAGTTATGAATACTAATTCCATTTTTATAACGGCTGTAGTGATACTCGTGAAAATATAACCGATTTTTTTTAGAAACGGCTGAACTAATACTCGTGAAATTATAATAGACTTCTTGCCGCTTTAAGGTAAATAAATTTTTAGGTTTGGGGGAACTTTCGAATTGAATTTAAAGAGTTATGAATACTAATTCTATTTTAGAAACGATTAAACTGACAGTCGTGATATTATAACAGACTTTTCACCGCTTTGAAATGAATAAATTTCTACGTTTAGCAGAACTTTCAACTTGAATTAAAAAAGGTATGAACACTATTTCTACTTTGGAAACGGTTTAACTGAAACCAGTACTCGTGAAATTGTAATAGACTTTTTACCACTTGAAGGTGAATAAATTTCTAGCTTTGGGGGAACTTTAGAGACGAATTTAAAAAGTTCTAAATACTAATTCTATTCAAATTCAAGTTTTGTTTTGCATCTTGAGTAATGACTCCAATCTGGCTGACGGAGAGGATGGGTCACTAGGAAATTTGTAATCTATATTAAAAAAACGGTAGATAAATATAGGATAGACGGGATAGAATATCGACAAAAAGTGGTGCTCGAGAGGAATTACAGTGGCTCGCAAAAGTATTGGATACATTGCAATTTTCTTCATATCTCAATTTAAAGTGCGAGATTTTTTATAATATTTAGTCAGGATATTGTTAAAAAATTATATAGAAAGGATATTGTAAAGTATGCATTGATTAGATTTTATTTAACAAATAGAAAAAGTAACCCTCGCAAAAGTATTGGGTACATGTTCATATATAAACAAAAATAACTTTTTTGAAGTA